ATAATAACAGAAAATCCAAAAGAAGATGTTTTGGAATGGCATAACGCTGAAGTGTTGCACATCATCGTAATATTCCAAATGATAACTTGTCAACAACATAAATTTACTGTTCTGATGCACCATAAAGATAAAATAATAAATAAACAAACTTAAAAATTGTTTGTGAAAGGTCGAAGAGTCGTTGTCGATCAGCGAACGTTTGCGTACGTAACGAATATAAACCTATCTGAAAAAACTGGCTCGTATTTTAAATTGAACAATAATAATGATAATAATAACAACAATAACAAATAAAAAAACAAATAAAAAGCAATAACCATATGAAAGCAATAATAAACGCTGAATTGATAATGCGATATCCATCGACTGTTCTCCACGGGCAATATTTCAATGAGTGTATTCAGCCACTCTTCACAAATCGTTATCTTATCAGCAAGATCGTTACTTTTGTTCATTTGACATGCATACGCGTTATCGATCAACGACACGTCATCTGAATTTCATTTCATTGTTTGCATTCCACACGTTTTCCGATGGATTTATCTGATGAAAGCCAATTTTGAAAACATTTTTCGCGAAAACATTTTGCACGTGATCTTAAATGAAAAACATAAGAGTGCTCCCTAACCAGTATCAAATCCTTCTTTCATTTTAACGGCCTCCAATAATTTCTTCAACGCGTCCTCATTCTTCTTCTGCATCGAATCCGAAAACGCAGCGTTTAAGAGTGAGACGAACTCTGCACTGCGAGACGTACACGGAACTGCAATTTTATATTATAATAGTAATAAGAACAATATTAATAGGAATAATAATAACAATAACCGATATAAAACCGACCGAAGACTGAGGAGTTCAAGGGTGAATTTGAGCTTTCGTCCATTTTTGTTGACATCATTGACTCGGATTGTTCCTTCATGTCGGACGGCTCAGACGAAGCTTGAGATGTTGATGGCGAGGATATACTACGAACTGCAACAGCAACAGTAATTATTACAAATAATAATGGCCTAATTTGCATGATAAACCTCATTATCAGTCACAAATGATTTAACAAAATCGCTCGCGCGTCCAAATGTCAAAATCGCTGCTTTACACTAATTTAGGTGCATAAGATAAACAATCAAAGATGAACGCGTCTCACCGTCCAAAACACCCAAGTTTCCGGCTCGAAATGCTGCGAAAGACTCCAAAAGCTTCTTGTTTTCTGCAGATTCACTACTTTTTGGTAGATTCGATTGCCTGGAATAGTAGTAGCCATGACAATAATGATATAATACCAAATATTCTTTATTTAGTATCAATCATATCCACAAAATGTCATTTAGAAAAATCGAACAACATTTAAAAAAGACTGGATCTCGAGGAATAATTGATTAATACGTATAGAGGCTATCGGAAATGCTGACAGATAGCTGGAAATAAGGCACGATTTATCAGAAGTGGAGACGCAGGCGTATACATATGTATACGCGAGTAGTTTTAGTAGAGATTACACACTCTCATTCTTTCTACTCAATATAAACATTGTGCCGTTTATCCCGTCTCAACGCTATTTTGGTGGCACTCTCAAGGTCAGCCCAATGAACACTAGCTTTTGATGTGCCGTTTGCATGACGCATCATTCGAATCACTTTCATTCACTCTTATATTAACATATACACACTCTCACAAAGCATTATTGAATAGATTGAAATTATTGCTTTGATTAGCTGCTGCTGGTAAAAATAAGGTGGTGGAAAAACAGTATATTAATTCGTTGGGATGGCAGACGAGAACATACGAAATGTGGACAGCGCCGTAGATTGGAGATCGAAAGGAAAACGATTGTAGATGGTAAAAAATTAGAGGGTTCTAGATGAACAAACGAGTCGATTGATAAAAAAGAACTTGGCGCTGTGGGAGAGTAGAGATTGTACGAAGAATTTTATCAGTTTTGTTCCATTTTTTTTCAGAAATTAGAATTTTTTGAACAAATGTTTAAAATTCATAAAAATGTTCGGAAGGAAGTGAAATGGTAAACTACTCCTCATCATTATTAATCAACATACCGATTCTGAAGTTCATCGCACATTTCCCATGCAAGTAACTGTTCCTTTTTCATTTGTATTTTTCGTTTGCGTTCAGCAATCGAGAGACGATTCGCCCGGACCGTCTNNNATCGCACTGGTGCGGTACCACGGGGTTTTCCGGGTCAGTCACAATACGACCGTCGCGAACGATCAGCGTTGCACACGTGCCACGCTTCATTTTGTACAAATACCAACACTTTGTGCATCGATAATAACGTGAACGACCGTCACGAGACGACGACCTGAAAGTCGAATGCTTTCCGATAAAACAGTCTGAAACTAAAATGCAAACTTTCCAAAAACCATCAGCAATGATCAAATCTCTCATTAGGGGATTTGCCTTTCGTATGGAACTTTATTTTACTGGACGAAGATTGAAAGAAGTATCATTCTCTCAGTTTCATTAATAATTCTGCACAAAAGTCACACACACACACCTCAAGAAGAACTCAATCGCCAGATTCGGATCTGCTTTTGTACGATACAGTATCACTTCATTTTTTCCACCGTGTGCCTCCACATAGCACGGTTCACCGTAATCTTCTGGCATTTTTGTGTTGCATATGTTGACTTTGCCACTGGTTATGGTGAGATGAGGAATTTGTTAAATATTCTAACGAATTTCAAATGAATCCTGCTGAAATATTACATAAATATCCGTATTTTCATGCTTATTCATATCCGTCAATAGAAATCATTGA